GCACGGCCCTGGCACCGGTCCCGCCCCGCACCGGCTACGGCATCGGCATCGGCTCCGCCCCACGCACCGGCACCGGCCGAATCCCGCCCCACGCACCGGCACGGCTCCGCCCCGCGTAACGGCACGATCCCACGCACCGGCACCGGAGAGGCCCCGCCCCACGCACCGCAACGATCCCACGCACCGGCCAAACCCCGCCCCGCGCACCGGCCCGACCCCGCCGGTCCCCGCTCCAGCAGCCGGTGCTCCAGCCCTTCTCCCCGGGGCCGCCGGCACCGGCGGTGACAGAGAGCACGGTGTCCCCGTCCCTCCGTCCGGCGGCCGCGACACACGCTGGGGCAGCGGGTACAACCGCCCCGAGGGACCGGGGGGGCACCGCGGGGAACCCAAGAACAGCTCAGTCTGTCCTTCCCCCCGCTGCGTCCCCAGAGGCCCCCGTGCTCCCGGGGGTCCCCCTGACCGGCCACCACGGTCACGTTCAAAGTGTCCCCGAGCACCCGACCCCTCCTCGGATCAGAAAAGCCAAGGCAAAGGGGACAGGAGGGACAGCGGGAGACACGGGGGCTCTGGTGTGGGGCCCCAAGACGGGTATCAGAAAAGCCAAGGCAAAGGGGACAGCGGGAGACACGGGGACTCTGGTGCGGGGCCCCAAGACGGGGCACAGGACAGTGGGAGAGTTCTCTGTGTTAAGGGGAGAGAGATTTCCCTCGGACGCTTTTCATGTCCCATAAAACACACCAGGGGAAAACAAAGCAGCGACACCAAACCCCACAGCGGGCACCTCCTCACCCCGGTACCAACCTGCCCAATTTAGGCGTTAATCCGAGGCTGTGACCCAGCAGCTTCCCGAGCCCCCAGCCCCATTCACCCCCCAACCTGCCTGGGGCTGTCTGCACCCCACAGCAGGCACAGACCCCCGTCGGGCAGCAGGGGAGGACGGCACAGCCCTGCCAGGGGTCCCACTCACCCCCCCTCCACCTCCACCGAGGAACGTGCTTTTAACAGAGACCAGGTTTTCCGGGAGCTCCCGGGGGTTTATTTACAGCAGTTTGTGGGAGAGCGGAGCTCCCCGGGGTCTGCCCGAGGCTGCCCGGGCATCTCCAGCCTGGGGAACAGGAGCCCGGTGTCGGGCCCCAGCTGCCGCCCCTCGAAGGGGCAGGGGTGGCCGTGGTACCGCGGCAGGAAGGTGAGAGCAGAGAGCCCCCTCTCCTGCGGCCCCACCGCCAGGCGGGACAGCAGCCTGTGGGCAGCCTGGGGGGTGACGGGCTGCAGCAGCGTCCCGTAGACGCGCAGGCACTCCAGCGTGACGTGGAGGATGGTGTCGAGCCAGCGCCGCTCCCCAGGGTCCCTGCGGTCCAGTTTCCAAGGCTTGTGTCTCTGGAAGAAGCCGTTGCTCTGCCTCACGCACAGGGCGACGCGCTCCAACGCCTTGTAGATCTGGAAACCTTCGAAATAAGCAGCCACCTCCCCAGGCAGAGAGGCCACGGAGGCCACCAGCTCGTAGTCCTCAGCACAAGCCCTGCCCAGGCCATTTGCCTCCCGGTGGTCCAAGAGCTTTGGGAAACAAGCCTGTGAGAAGGAGGGGTAGGTGTTGCTGGGGTTGATGCTGGGGGCCGTGGAGCGATTGAGGAGCCCCCCGAGCGCGTCGGCCAGTTCCGCGTTCAGCAGTTTAACCACCTTCTCCTCGTAATAGTCGCAGTCCCGCTCGGGGACCCCCTGCCTCAGCAGGAAGTACCGGAACCCGTCCACCGTGTAGTGCTCCATGGAGGCGGTGGGGTCCACCACGTTGCCCAGGCTTTTGGACATCTTCTGCCCGCGGACGGTCCAGTGGGAGTGCACCAAGATCCGCTCGGGGGGGGCCAGCCCCGCCGCCATCAGCAGCGCCGGCCAGTACACGGCATGGAACTTGAGGATGTCCTTGCCCACCACGTGGCAGGCAGCGGGCCACCACTGGCCGTGCCCCTCGGGGTAGCCCACCACGCTCAGGTAGTTCACCAAGGCGTCCACCCACACGTAGATGGTCTGGGTGGGGTCGCTGGGGACGGGGATGCCCCACGGCAGGCGGCTCCTCTCCCGGGAGACGGACAAGTCCGACAGGTCCTCCTCCTCCAGCCAGCGCTGCACGCGCCGGTGGAAAGGCTGCGGGGTGATGGCCTGGGGGTTGTCCCGCAGCCAGTCCCGCAAGGGGCCCCGGAACGCCGAGAGCCTGAACATGTAGTTCTCCTCTTGGGTCCAGTGCACCTGGGAAGGCGGGAGAGGACAGAGCTGCAGCCCAAACACCCTGCAAACGGTTCTACAATTTGCACGGGGAATTCTCAGCGTGGGGGTGGTCTTTGGGTGTGCTCCCCACCACCCGTGGAACCCCTGGCATCCTCCTGTGGCTGGTAGGGACCTTCTCTCCTGCCACCGCCTCCCCGGCTTCCCCAGGACCACACGGACTGTGGCACTTGTGTGATTTGGAGGATGCTCTGCTCCCAGGGAAGGAACACCCTTCTACCGGGCTGATTTGCGTGTCACCAGGCAAGAATTAGGGAGACGAGAATACACTTTCTTTAGAACGTAGTTCGGCAATAACAGTAGGAAATCATCAAAGGACAAAGTGACATGGTTAATTACTGCCTCACTAACAGCACTGGCGGGTGCCTCTGCTCTCCTCCCAGGCACTACATTTCTCTCCCCAGTTTAACATTGGTGCATCTGCCAGGGTTTGGGCCGGGACGGCAGCGGGGGCCGCGCGTGGGTTTGGGATGGGAGCGGTGCTGGTGGCACTCGGGTGGGTCTGGGTGTTGCTGAGCTCTCAAAGCCCTTCCTACTCCTCACCCCACCCCACCAGCAACCAACATCCCAGACCAAGGGACATTCCCCGCCATGGAACTCCATGCTCAGTGTTTAAAGCTGGGGAAGAAAGAGGAAGAGGACAATCGGAGCGACGGGGTTTGTCTCCCCAGGTCACCCTTAAGTGACGGGGCCCTGCTGTCCTGGGGATGGCTGAACCCCCGCCTGCCGAGGGGAAGGAGTGGATTAACTCCTGGTTTCGCTTTGCTTGAGACGCTTTTGCTTCACCCATTAAACTGTCTTTATCTCAACCCATGAGTTTTCCTTATTTTTCCCACTGGGGAAGAAGCAGCGAGCGGCTGCGCGTTCCTCTCTGCGGCAGAGGTTAAACCCCCACAGCGTTAGCGTCGTAGTTGCTAACTCCGTTAGCTGTAATCATGACAAAGTGCTGACAGCACCCCTCCCACGCGTTTAAATTCAATAAATGACACGTTTAGCTAAAACAAGAACTCTACGGGTAGACAGGGCACGAGTGAGCTGTGTACAGGCACTCAGGAGACCACAGAATGACAGGGGGCTGGAAGGGCCCTCCGGAGATCCTGCCCCCACATCCAGGGGTAGGTCAAGAATTCTTACCTTTTCAAGGTAAATAAAGCTCTAGGATAAGAAAGCACAAGCTTTGGCACCACACAGCAGAGTTTCTGTTTCTAGCACTGAACCCAACAACTTCTGACTGAGCCAGAAGGTGCCTCAGTCTCAGTACAAGTAGCAGAGAACTTACCACACCCACCCCTCCTCGGGGCTGAGATATCCTAAGGAATAATTCATCCTAGTGGTACATGCCCAAAGGAATAATTAATCCTAGTTGCACAAAACTGCTCTTTGATGTAGCTGAAGTTACCTAATTTCAGCAGCAGATACCACAAATACCTTTTCTTACTTGATTAGGTCACCCCAAAAGAAATATCTTTCCCTACACAAATCATAAACCAGTTACAGAAAAATTTTTTTATTCCCCCCGGGCCCCCAGATTCTTTATGTTTTTCCATAATTTTTTTCAGTTTCTGGGTCCTGGCTCTCAGCACTCCACCCAGGAAACCCTTCACCCAGAGCCAAGGCAACGTTCTCCCCCCAGTAGTCCCTTTTACACAACCCAGAAACCCTTTGGGTGACAACTCGGGACACAAAAGCCACCTCAAAGCAGGACCCTGCAATCACTTCTTCCAAAAGGCTGGCCAGGTCTGGTGTTTGGCCCCAAAGAGCCCACCTCAGGTCACCTCCCGGGTGCCAGGAGCCCAGCTACCTGTCACGGCGGTGTCTCACGTAGGGCCAAAGCCCATGGAAGGAGACTGATGGAAAGTGTCCGGATGCCAAACTGAACTGCCTCACGAAACAGACCTGAAACTCCGGACACCCATTGAACCCCTCAGTTACAAACACCTTCATCCCCCCACACAGCTAAATTCATTCATCACCGCTTTACAGCCCTCTCCCCGTCCAACAGCCCGTGGAACCCAGTAGCAGCAGGAGAACTGCCTCACGAAACAGACCTGAAACTCCGGACACCCATTGAACCCCTCAGTTACAAACACCTTCATCCCCCCACACAGCTAAATTCATTCATCACCGCTTCGCTTTACAGCCCCCGTCCAACAGCCCGTGGAACCCAGTAGCAGCAGGACCCTCCCCATGGCACGGGGCTGCAATGTGCCTCTGCCAGCTGGGTCCTGGCAGCTCTGCCTCGCCAGCACCTCTGTGTGACAGCAGGGTTTGGGTTGGGAGGGACCTTAAAGACCACCCAGTGTCACCCCCTGCAGCTCCCACCAGACCAGGGGGCTCAAGGCCACGTCCAGCCTGACCTTCTACAGACACAGAAGGGACATTCTGTGAGATACAGGTTGGGTTGGGAGGGACCTTAAAGACCACCCAGCGTCACCCCTTTCACCTCCCACCAGACCAGGGGCCTCAAAGCCACGTCCAGCCTGGCCTTCTACAAACACAGAAGGGACATTCTGTGAGATACAGACGAGCCTCAGAAGTACCACAGGCTACAGGGAGCACTGAACACCCCCAAATTTGGCCAGAGAGGACAGCACAGTGCCTCCCCGGGCCGGTGCCGTTACCTGGTGGCCGGTCTCCAGCGACACCTTGCAGGGCCGGCCCTGGGCATCCCTGCGCTCGCCCAGCTGGCTCTCGGGCAGGAAGCTCTCCTCGGCCGTGCAGTACCAGCCCTCGTACCGGCCCTTGTAGAGAGCCCCGCCGTCCCGGAGCGCCCCCCAGAAATGGCACACGGCTCGCCGGTGGCGGGGCTCGCTGGTGCGGACGAAGTCCGTGAAGGAGACGGCGGCCCGGGTCAGGGCCTGGCGGAAGAGCCCCGAGACCCGCTCGCACAGCTCCGGGGGGGACGTCCCCGCCGCGGCCGCGGCCTGCTGGATCTTCAGCCCGTGCTCGTCCGTCCCTGAAACGGCAGAGAGGGATTGGGGAGGGGGCCCCGGCAACGAGCCCGGGGGCGCGGAGGACGAGGGCGGCCCCGGGGGAGGCGGGGGAACCCCGAGGAGGAGCCGGAGGGTCCGGCCGCCCGCACTCACCCGTGGAGAGGCGGCCCGGGCCGGCGCCGCGGAGGCCGCGGTAGCGGTGCAGCGCGTCGGCGAGCAGGGCGGAGTAGAGGTGCCCGATGTGCGGCGGCCCGTTAGCGTAGAAGATGGGCGTGGAGAGCAGGAGGCGGCGG